CGCAGCAGCAGCCAGCAGCAGCAGCAGCAGCAGCCAGCAGCCAGCGCAGCAGACAGCAGCAGCAGCAGCAGCAGCAGCAGCAGCAGCAGCCGCAGCGTCGGTTTCTCGCAGCGAGCGGAGCACCAGCCTAATGAGACCCGCGGCTGACCAGCGCGCCTCTCCCCCCCTCCCCAGCTGAAGCGCGAGCTGAGCAGCGGCCGCCGCTTCCGCGTGGTCGAGGGCGTGGACCTCTGCGGGCAGAGGAACACGAGATATGGGGAGATATGGGGAGATATGGGGAGATATGGTCGAGGGCGTGGCGCTCTGCGGGCAGAGGAGCACAGCACGCGCGCGCTAGTCTTGGTCAGTGAAGTAGTCGACGACGCGGCTCACCCCGTGAGGTGAGGCCTCTAGAAGCGGAATCTCTCCCCATATCTCCCCAGATCTCGGGCCCTGGAAGCGGAATACGTATTCGTGTCTCCCAACCAGCGCCCGAGAGGACACGCACTCCGCCGTCTTCACCCGTATTCAGCTGTGTGCAGCTGTCTTCCTGTCCGTTGTCTTCACGCGGTGCTCTGAAGACGCTGCATACCACCGTCTTCCCGCCCTCATGTTGGCGTCTTCAGCACGTAGGCTTGAGACGGTGCAGGAACTACTCGCTCAAGTTTGTGCACGGCCACGGCGTGCGCGCGACGAAGCCTCTCGACACGATGCAGTGAGTCCTGTCTCCCCGCTGTGTCTCCCCGCATCTCCCCAGATCTCCCCGCATCTCCCCACATCTCCCCACATCTCCCCAGATCTCCGAGAGCTCGACACGACTCCTCGCCTCTCCTCACTTCACGCCTCTCCTCTCCTCTCCTCGCGTCACCCCGCCCCACCCAAGCCCACCCCACCTCCCCTCCCCTCCACCCCACCTCACCTCTCCACCTCAGGTGCCTTCACCTCATCACCTCCTTCGTCGGCGAGGTGTGAACGGCGTCTCTTCATACCTCCAGCTGTGAACAGGTGCCTTCACCTCATCACCTCCTTCGTCGGCGAGGTGTGCCCCTCTCCCTCTCCACCCACGCACGCAACCGCGCGATGCCCCCTCCCCCGCCTCCTCCCGCCTCCTCCCGCCTCCTCCCGCCTCCTCCCGCCTCCTCCCGCCTCCTCCCGCCTCCCCCGCCTCCCCCGCCTCCCCCGCCTCCACCGCCTCCACCGCCTCCACCGCCACCGCCACCGCCACCGCCACCGCCTCCACCGCCACCGCCTCCACCGCCACCGCCGCCACCGCCACCGCCTCCACCGCCACCGCCTCCACCGCCACCGCCTCCACCGCCACCACCGCCACCGCCTCCACCGCCACCGCCTCCACCGCCACCACCGCCACCACCGCCACCGCCTCCACCGCCACCGCCTCCACCGCCACCGCCTCCACCGCCTCCACCGCCACCACCGCCACCGCCACCACCGCCACCGCCACCGCCTCCACCGCCTCCACCGCCACCGCCTCCCGTTCGGCCGCAGGTCTTTGCGCATCCGACTTTCGTGTGCGTCGTCATGCGGTGTGTGGGGGGGGGGGGGGGGGGGCACGACGGCGGACAAAGAGCTCGCAAGACCTCACGCCACGAGAGCGGGGAGTAGGTGGGGGATGCACGAGGTCGATGGATCCCACCAGCTCGCCGCGGTCATCGCCGAGGCGGTGCGGCTGCTGCGCAAGCTCCGCCATCTCTCCGCCATCTCTCCTCCATCTCTCCGCCATATCTCCGCCATATCTCCGCCATATCTCCCCACACCACAGGTGCGGCTGCTGCGCGAGCTCCTGCCGTCCGGCGGGCAGTCTCGCTACCTCCGCCTCTCCTCCAGCGTGCTGCAGCGTCTCCTCCTGCGGATGGCGTGCCTCGACTCTCACTTGGGCGATAGCCTCTGGCTGCCATAGCAGCGGCCAAGCGTTTTTGAGCTCGCGTGAGACAGCTTAGTCAGTAAGTAGAGAAGAGAACTCTCAGTGCACATGCTTGTACTCTCTAGCCGTACAAGTGAGAGACTCCCTTTTCTCCTAGTAAGCTAAAAGTACGTACAGGTGAGAGAGAGTACGTACAAGTGAGAGTACGGTTTCCGTAGTACGGACTACGGTACACCAAATTAAAGAGGTGCAAAGCGCTGTAAGTGTAACGCTCTCTGAGCGTTACAGCTTACACGCGTTACACGGCCGTTAGCACAGACACGTGTGCGCACAGCGACCGAGCGTCGGCCCTCCGCTCTCCGGGGCTCCGCCCTCAATCGGGGAACGGTCCGCGCCGCCCGTCCCCGGGAACTACACTGGAGAGATCTTCCGGACAGGAACGGCGCAGCCACCAGAGACAGTACCAGACGAACTATCACGACACACGGCAGCAGGGGGGACGCAGCTGGATGGAAGTGACGACGAGAGCGGGGACGACTTTGACAGCGTCGCGGCGCGGTGTAACTTCGACTGGCCTGCAGCATCGAATGAGCCGAAACGAGGCACGAGGGCGACGCACTTCGTACGCTACGAGGAGATACAATTAGGCAAGGCAGCTGCGCAGGTGATGGTCCTGTTTGCAGAGAGGGGAGTCAAGGAAGGCCAAGAAATCACATGGTCATATGGGGACTCATACAGGAGCCACCGCAAGGAGATGGGATACAGGGCGGGGACCAGGGCGGATCCGAACGCAATAACACCCCAGCAAGCGCGGACGGCATTCGCGAGATACTGCAAAAAGATAGACGTGACGAAGGAGGAGCTAGCGTGGAACTTTGGATGCATATCGGCAAGCCAAAATAACGAGCAGGAGGCTGTCCTGGTGCGTGAGCTAATCCTGAGCAACAATAAGCGACTGTACCACGGAGCACAGAGCGCAGCAGACAGGACGGCGGCGACGGCGGACATGGCAGAGACGAGTGTGAAACAAAGGGCGGCGGGCATGGAGGGCGGTAGCGACGGGGATGGAGACGGTGACGGTGGCGAGGGAGAGGAAGGGGGTCCATTAACACCAGACAGCGAGAGGGGCAGGGAGGAAAGGGGGAGAGAGGAAGCCAACGCGACGTGCGCAGAGGATGAGGATATAAACTGGGACGACGCAGCGGAGGGGATAGGCGAGGGAATCGAGGGACCGGAGGGCTTTCGCGACAGCGACGATGACGACGAAGAAAGGGGAGGGGACGGAGGGGCGACACGCAGGAGGAGCGAAATCGCTAACGGCCCGAGCAGAGAGGGCGACGGCGGGGCACGAGGGAACAACGGAGACGCTACCGATGACGCGAACCGAGGCACGGACGCCGGCGGGGACGGGGAGGGCGACAGCGACGTCGAGGTTGACGCAACCGTATCGAGAGCGCCACCCAAAAAGGGGCGGACAGCCATGGAGATCACCGAATGGAGGGCGAACGGCACGATGCGAAAAGGCAGGGCGAGGCGGATGGAGAAAGAAGTGCCGAGAAGGCCATGGTGGAGGGGAGGGACGGGAGGACGAAAGAAGGGCGAGGAGGACGAGCGGCCCTCACAGACCGCGAGCAGACAGCGCCTGCTGGCCATTTCGAGACATTCGCCAAGAACGCTAGCTACATGGGAGGGCTTCGTGAAGGATGGATTGAAAAACATTCGAACAAAGAAGAGGCGACGGGAGGAACCGGCGGAGGATGCAGTGACGTGAGACACACACACACACACACACACACACACACACACACACACACACACACACACACACATGAGAAGTAGAGCGAGTCGATGACGGTCCACCGCTCGAAGCAGCCCAGAATACACTCCAGATCAGCATCGGGGCACCGTTCTGTGACAGTCTGCAAGTCACAGGGCTTTTGGACGGTGGCGCCGACGTGGTAGAAGAGAATGCCGACAGAGAGGTAGATGGCAATGATAAGGGCCTTCCAGAGCTTGGCAATGGGACTCTTGCTGACGCGTGCAGCCACAGGACCGATCCACAGCGGAAGCATTGCCATCGCGACGCGGTCTGGTGCACGCGGTCTGGTGCAGCACGTTACACGCGAGAGGACGGCTCGTTGTAACCGTCGCGGGGGTCGGATGGGCTCTCGCAAAAAGGCTCTCGCACACGCACGATTCACACGGCAGACAAGGCGCAGACGACGGCTTCCTTAGGAGCCATCGTCCTCGCCACAAGAGCCGGCGTCCGAATGAATGCCCCTCCTCCGACACCCGCCCCACCCCACCAACCCCACCCAGGAGGCCCCTAGCGCAGTGGCGCCCGCCCTACGTCTCCCCCTCCTCCCCAGAGGCAGCGAGTAGGCAGCGAGAGGAGGTCTCGAGCGCCTATGTGTCAGTGTGCGAAGGGCGGTGGCCAATGCGCGGGCGAGGGGAGGGCGGGGCGGGGCGGGGCGGCTGTCTGGCGAACGCCTGATGCCATGCTTTGCGCTGGTCTATGAGAGGTTGAGGTGCGAGTCCTGGAGGCCCCGGGGATGGGGGGGAGACTACCCGCGGGCCTAGAAGGCCCGCGCGCATTTTTCACAGCCTTTGTTGTTGAGAAGAAAATACGTCCTCTCGCGCTGTTCACAACCTTGTTATGAGAAGAAAATACGTCCTATGGCGCTGTGCGCTGGTCTGTGAGAGGTTGAGGTGCGAGCCCTGGAGGCCCTGGGGATGGGGTGAGACTACCCGCGGGCCTATTCACACCGAGCAGCGAGCGGCGCTTTACTGCCCCCACAGTAGCAAGGCCGCCGGCAGCGCTGGCCACCAGCAGCGCTGGCTTCACCCGAGCACCTGCCTGCTGTGGCCAGAGAGATGTCGGAGCCGGCTGACGCACCGTTCGATGACGCACCGATCGACGACGAGCCTCCCCAAGAACGTCCGGCCGGCGAGAGCTTCCAGTGTGCGGTGTGCTGGGATGACACCTCGGCCGCCGGCGAGGCACGGCTGCCGTGCTGCGTTATCCCGGCAGCCTCTTCGACCCGTTACTGCCACTCATGCATCGCTGTGATCTGCGCGTCCGCACCCGGCAACGTCGGCCGCTGCCCGAACTGCCGGTCCTACCTGAGAATCGGCGCCGGGTGACGGAGGCGGCCGTGAGGCGTCGCGCGACGCCGACGCATCACCGTTGGCTGTTGTAGGCGCGGGCGGCGCCATCGAGGAGGCTGACGCGGTGGACACGTGCACGCTGTGCCAGCAGGTGCGCGTCATCGTCGAGATGCGGGGCAGAGGCCGCTAGCCCTAACCCTAACCCTAACCCTAGGTGCGCGTCATCGTCGAGACGCGGGGCGGAGGCCCCTAGAAGCGGAATGCGTGTTCATGTATCCCAACCAGCACTCGAGAGGACACGCACTCAGCCGTATTCGACCGTACTCCGCTGTGTTCACTGTATTCTTCTCCGTTGTCTTCACGCGGTGCTCTGAAGACGCTGCACAGTACCGTCTTCCCGCCCTCATGTTGGCGTATTCAACACGTAGGCGGAGGCCGGCTCAAGCTCTGTGGGGCTTGCTCGATGGGCCAGCGCCACACCCTGCGGTATGAGTGCGAGCAGTGCCGCCGCTTCCAGCGCATCCCCCACCCAATGTACCGCTACCAGCCGACGCCGCAGCAGTTCGGCGACGTGTCGTGGGCGTGCCACCAGCGCTGCCGTGCCCAGACGCACTGGCGCGTCCACCCCGAGGACGTCCTCCACCTGTGAACAGCGTTTCTTCACACCTACTGCTGTGAACAGGCGCGTCCACCCCGAGGACGTCCTTGCGGTCCCCGCTGACGATGCGCCCGAGGGCTGGGGAATGCGCGAGGCGTGGTTCGACGCCGTGCGCGAGCAGCGGCGGCGAGAGGGGCGGGTGAGGCCGCGCACTGCAAACCCAGTGTGAGGAGTGGGGGAGCTGGGACAGGGCATGTAAAGTACGCCTCTGATCTGTCATGGTCTAGTGGCCGAGAGGATCCTCCCTTAGGCAACGATGGCGGGTCGGGAGAGGCCCGAATTCTCAGCCCGCCACTTACTGTCAGCCTCTCTGACTGCCCAGGCGGCCCGGCCGAGGCTGGACGCGCAGCACCAGCCGATCGAGGCCGGCCGCGAGCTGCGTCTCCCCATATCTCCCCATGTCTCCCCATATCTCCCCATATCTCCCCATAGGCCGGCCGCGAGCTGCGGCTCCTTCTCATCGCCGCCGCCTTCCTGGCGGCCGCGGCCTTCGACCTGTCTACGCTGCCCCCGTGGGCGCGGTGGGCGGGCCTCGCCGTCGCGGGCGTGTACAGCTGGCGGCGCGTCTATGTCGCGAACGGGCGCGTTCTCAACCCGCCGGCTTAGGGCCGTAGCATGAGGGCCGCAGCCTGCGTGTGGGAGTGCGAGAGTGCTACACAATCTTACACACGTAGTGGTGCTTCATGTAGCGCCGGCTTCGGTTTGCATGGATGCCCGCCTCTTGATCGTTGACGTCGTGCTCTCGTGCGGGAATCGGGCATGCTTTTGTGTGAACAGCGCCGACTGTCTGTGCTTTTGTGTGTCTTGGGTCCGCGGGGTTGTGTTTTTGTGTGAAAGGACGTCTTTTACTTTTTCCTTTTTTTCTCATAACAAGGTCTGAGAACTGTGAACAGCGCCTGTCTCTGTGCGATGTCGGGCCCGGGGCTAGCGCGTTTATGCTTATGTGAACAGCGCCTCGCGTACACGTACGGGGTCGACACCGCCGGGCCACACCGCACACGGCCACAGCGAGTCAGCGACACGGCGAGCGCGATCTCCTCCACACCCCGGTCCCCACACCCCCCTACATCTCCCCAGGGCTAGGAGAGGGGGTAAGACATAAGTGAGTGTGGAGGGCGGGCAGTCCCAGTGACGGTGCGGTCGAGCCTTTAGCGCTTAGGGCTCGACGCCGCCCTTCCTACTAGAGATGTGGGAGAGAGTGTCTACTACTGGGGTTTCTCAGCTCCGCCTGCTCATCGAACTCCTGGATAACGGCCGGCATGGCCGCCTTGGCATCCGGAAAGGACAAGGCTACGTCCGCGAGGTACCAACCAAACTCAGTCAGGTCAACCGTGCTGTCTGCTTTGCCATGCGTGTCGTACCACTCAAAGAACTGCTCGACGTCAAACGCTTCGCCGCTGTACATCTCGACCACCTCCTTGAGCTCCGACTTGTCCAGCGATCCACTGCCATCTTTGTCCAGCTTCATAAAGACGGCCTTAATCGTCCTCAAGGCCTTGGCGCTTTGTTTTGTGTTGCGCTTGGGTGATTGCGCCGTAACGTGCCGGGTCATCCATTTCCTCCGGATCAGCGTTCACGGTGAATGTGAGGAGGAAGCCTTGTCCGTTTCTTCCGCTAAGAACCTCCCCGAGGGCCCAAGTCAAGAATTGGCTTTGTTTTGGTGGGCAAAGTATATCCCAAAAAACTCCCTATCCGGCAAGGGGTCCGAACCCAGCCCTCTACCATTATGGGTGGCCACGGCGGCGGTCGCATGCGCATCGGCTGGGTCGGTGTCGGCGTGATGGGCCGACACATGGCTGGCCACCTCATGGCGGCGGGCCATGAGCTCTCGGTATTCAGCCGCACCGCCTCCAAGTGCGCGCCGCTGGTAGAGGCTGGAGCTCGGCTGGCGTCGTCGCCTATGGATGCCGCCTATGGAGCCGACGCAGTGTTCACGATGGTTGGAGCGCCCTCAGATGTCGAGCAGGTCACACTTGGCGGCGGCGGCGTGCTGGAGGCGCTGGAGCCAGGATCGCTGCTGATTGACTGCACCACGAGCACACCCAGCTTGGCGCAGAGAGTCGCCGCGGCCGCAGCGGGCAAGGGTGTGCTGGCGCTGGACGCGCCCGTGAGCGGAGGCGACGTCGGTGCCGAGGCGGCGTCACTCTCCATCATGTGTGGCGGGAGCGATTACCTGGCGGAGGGGGCGGCGGCGCCGGCGGCGGTGTAGACGGAGGTGGCGGGGACGGAGGTGGCGGGGACGGAGGTGGCGGGGACGGAGGTGGCGGGGACGGAGATGGCGATGGTGGTGGCGGTGGCAACGGCGGTGGCGGTGGCGGCGGAGAGGGAGGCGGCGGTGGCGGGGACTGCGGTGGCGACGGCGGGGGTCGCGGCGGGAAGGGCGGCGGCGGCAGTGGTGGCGAGGGAGGCGGCGGTGGTGGCGGTGGCGGGGACTGCGGTGGCGGGCTGTCCGGCGGCAGTGGTGGCGAGAGAGGCGGCGGTGGTGGCGGTGGCGGGGACTGCGGTGGCGGGCTGTCCGGTGGCGGTGGAGTTGGCGGTGGTGGCGGCGACAGCGGTGGTGGCGGCGATGGTGGCGAGGGAGGCAGCGGTGGCGGGGACTGCGGTGGCGACGGCGGGGGTCGCGGCGGGAAGGGCGGCGGCGGCAGTGGTGGCGAGGGAGGCGGCGGTGGTGGCGGTGGCGGGGACTGCGGTGGCGGGCTGTCCGGCGGCAGTGGTGGCGAGGGAGGCGGCGGTGGTGGCGGTGGCGGGGACTGCGGTGGCGGGCTGTCCGGCGGCAGTGGTGGCGAGGGAGGCGGCGGTGGTGGCGGTGGCGGGGACTGCGGTGGCGGGCTGTCCGGTGGCGGTGGAGTTGGCGGTGGTGGCGGCGACAGCGGTGGTGGCGGCGATGGTGGCGAGGGAGGCAGCGGCGGCGGCGGTGGCGGTGGTGGCGGCGACGGCGGTGATGGCGGCGGCGATGGCGGCGACGGTGGCGGAGGCGGCCGAGGGAGGGGAGGCGCCGGCAGGTGAGTCACCTCCCCGTTGAAGGCTAATGTCTCTCCGCGAAAGCCACTCTGCCCCGGGGCGGGCTTGATGCGGCACGCGTGCTCGCCCATCGGGAGGACGTGCAGCACCGGCTTCTTGTGGAGATCGCAGCTGTTTTCGGGCCCGCCAGTGAAGTGGTAGTCGGTTGCGAGGCAATCTCGACTATCGCGGCACAGGGCCTGGCACTCGGCCTCGCTCACGCCCAAAATTGTGTCAACCGAACCATACGCGCCGTGCTCCACCCGGCAACCGCCGCGTTGTCCGCCGGCGAGCGGCCAGAGATCTCCCGCCGACCAACCGCCGACCGCCGGGACCATTTGGTTGGAGGGGCTCGCGGAAGGCTTCGGCGCCGACTGCGGAAGCGGTGGTTGCACCGGCAACCACCACGGTGGCGGGCGGGGCGGAGGTGGAGGTGCTCGGAGAAACCAGAACGAGCGAGCTCGGCCTGCCTGGCCGAGCCGACCAGCGCGAGGAGAGAGGCCGTAAAGGAGGACCGGCGGGGGCGGGGAGGGTTCTGGGGACCACGGAGAGGGAGGA